TTCTACACCGTTGATTGACTAAAACATCAAACGGCTGAAACTCACGATCCGCGTCATCCCAAATTAACTAATCAACAGCTCGCCCCAACTTGTATATAATAAATCTGTTTACACCATTTCCTTCACACAATTCGAACTCAAAATCCCTCCCATTTCCTACAAATTTTGCTAATCTCCTCTTAAAATGGCACCAAAGGCTGAGAAAAAACCCGCAGAGAAAAAACCCGCTGCCGAAAAAGCCCCTACTGCCGAGAAATCATCAAAGGCCGGGAAGAAACTTCCCAAGGACGGCGCTGCCGCANATCTCCTCTTAAAATGGCACCAAAGGCTGAGAAAAAACCAGCTGCCGAGAAATCATCAAAGGCCGGGAAGAAACTTCCCAAGGACGGCGCCGCCGCCGCAGCCGCAGCCGGAGACAAGAAGAAGAAGAGGGCAAAGAAGTCAATTGAGACTTACAAGATCTACATTTTCAAGGTGCTGAAACAGGTTCACCCTGATATCGGAATTTCAAGCAAAGCCATGGGTATCATGAACAGTTTCATCAACGATATTTTTGAGAAGCTTGCTCAGGAATCTTCTAGACTTGCTAGGTATAATAAGAAGCCGACTATTACTTCACGGGAAATTCAAACCGCCGTCCGATTGGTCCTTCCCGGTGAATTGGCTAAACATGCTGTTTCTGAGGGTACTAAGGCTGTTACCAAATTCACTAGCTCTTGAAATTTGATACGTTTTTGCTCTGTTTTTATCTTTTGGTTTGTGTTGCGTTTATGAGTTCAATTAGAGTTTGGTGATGTAAAGAAGAAAAATTGGCTAACTTTTGGTGTATTATTTTACAGTTCTGCATCTGTAACCAAAATTGATAGTTATGCTAATTTTTGCATTAAGATTGTCTGAGGAAATTAAATGGTTTGGTTAGACTTTTATCGCTGGTTAGTGGCTATCAAATGAGGATACTTATGTGTTCTCAATCAAGTCCAATTGCAATTTTTATATATTAGTTTTAGTGTACGTGCATTGCACGTGTTTTTATGATGTATCGATAAAAATTATACAAAATATAAAATTATGTGTAATAACAATTAACGTTAAAGAAAACATAAATATTATTACATTGACACAATAAATGAATTAATAGAATTTTGTATCTTCTGATTTTATGCGAATTACTTATGTAGTATTTGATTATTGATATTTTATTGTATGATATCTTTGTGGACAATATTCTTGGAGTTTGTTATTTCTTTGTTATTATTTTTCTTTTATAGATTTATTGTTTACATAGTTCAAATAACAAAGGATTTAATAGATGAAATCTAGTTAATTTCATTTTTTTAAATATTAAATGACTATTATTATTTTTAAATATTAGAAAAATAATAAAATAATTATTTTTATCTAGTGTGAGATCTATTTTTAAAGAGTAAAAATAGAGAACGATATTTTGCTAATGATTTTCGTACTTTTAATATACTATAAAATATAGAATCTAGTCTATGTGTGTTATTGTGTGTCCAACATTGAATAAGAAATTTAAAAATCACATAAATATTATTAAAAATTATATCTTCTCCAACATTGAGTAAGAAATTTAAAAATCACATAAATATTATTAAAAATTATATCTTGAATTAAAAATAGATGTTTCATATAAATTCTTAAAATGATAATGTTAATTTCATTTATCTGAATCAATAACACAATAAACTTTGCTTACATAAGTCCTCATTTTCTTAACTAAGATTATTTAACATTTGTTATTATTTGAAGAAACATTTTATTTATTCATAGAGAATGATTTCAAATCGTAAAATATTAGACAAAGTCTTGACTTTTTAAAAAACAAAATATATCTCAATGTATCTAAGATGACTACAAAAATGATATGAGACAAAGTAAAAAAATTTACTAAAATTCCTAAAATAAAGAAAAGAGGAAAATATTTTTCAAGAAGTAATCGGATTGATTTCAATTTTTAAAATCTAACATAAATAAAAATAAAAAACACATTTTCAAGAAAGATTAAAATTATTTTAATTCTAAAGTACTGGAAAGAACAATCTTAAACAAACATGCCAATCACAAAATCAAACACCCATAATTCTTTTGAGCATCTCAAGGATATTGTAAACATATTGAAAGAATACATAGAAAATGATCAAAATGGTCCTTAATATATTGGAGTTGGTTTATTTTGGTACTTGATATATACACCCTAATAGATATGGTCCTTAATGTATACATAAAGCAACTTCTGTTAAGTTTAACCCCTACCCAACAGCTCCAACGAAGGGAAAACATGAGAGGATTTCAAGAGAGAAACAATGGATTCTTTGTCAGTTAGAAGTTGGGTCTGTTCAGGAATAGAAGCCATGGATGATGAGCTTCACTGGTCTCAACTCTCGGAATTTTCTTCACTGGTCTTTAATACATAATCTCCTTTAATTAACCTATCCACGAGGGCAACTTATGGTCTCTTTGGATTTTTTCGGTTTGACACTTGGCACAATATTATGAACTTGTCTCTCCTTTTCTATATTAATAGATTATAGGAGATCTAGCTGGTGTTTTTATATGTTTAACTAAACTTATTATTTTCTCATAAGTGATTTTTGTAGGTAATCTGTGGACCTTTTCAGAAGTTTATTTGCAACTGGTCAACTATAATTTTCATGTGTTCTGTTGTTGTCAGCTCTGACGGAGGAGCTCCGAGAAGCCAGTTACTTTTGCAATGGGTAAGGTTAAACTTAACAGAAGTTCTGGACAAATCTGTTAATTTGTCGGGCAGAGACCAAAATGATATGCTTTAAGTATACATTAAGGACCATATCTGTTAGGGTGCATATATCAAGGACCAAAATAAACTAACCCCAATAGATTAAGGACCATTTTGATCATTTTCTCAAAGAATACATATTGTACTTAAGAAAATGATAATAATCTTATATCTGAAAAAAGTATACGAAAGGGATAAAGAATGTAATTGCTCTTTTACAATATCCAATATAATACAAGGAAAATAAATAGGTAGGGGCACTAAATTACTAATATATGGGTCACCAACAGCCTTACGATTTCTAAAGACGCCAATTTGAATAGAAAAAAGTGCATTCACGAGAGGAGCACCTTAACTGTAAATATGTTAACAAGAGCCCCGATTAAATTCAAACATAATATCGTTCATTGCAATCACATTAAATTTAGTATCTTCACTCATCAGGATGAATCTTATAGATACTTATCACACTAAATTTTATAAAGACATAATTCATACCAAATAAAAGTTAATAGTCTAGTCTCAAATTTTAAAATAAATTGAATAACAAATTACACTCAAACAACCTACAAAATTTATACAAGTATTCCTACTAACTAACTATTGTGTTTGCATTCATATGCAAAATGTGCAAAAGATAAAATTTAATGACTGCAATTGAAATTAAAATAGTTGAAGTCACCTATCTTTAAGAAAATAAAGACATTAATCATATCTAGTCTGCACATTAAACGAAAAAACTTCAATTTGATATGAGCGAAAGTGGCAATCTTCAACTTCTTATATACTAAACCAAAACAAGACAAAGTGCTTTTAATGTAGGGCACAATTGGTGTGAATCCACTATGAACTTAACACGTGACCACGAATATCACCAGAAGTTGATTCAAACTTTTGTTAAGACATTAGATTTTAAAAAAAAGGAATCAAAATTTGACTACGGATATCATTATTGATAATACCTTTTACCTATAAAATTTTACAACATGTTAAAACTTTAACCTTCATAAGATTGACACATGAAATTTATTTTTGAGAGAGAATTCATATCATGAGAAAAATAAATTACCTAATAGGTATTGCTACTCCCCGCTGTAATGGTTGTTTAGTTAGACCTGAAATAAGGGAACATTCAAAAAATACTACTACAGTTAAATACATCAAAACAAACCCTTGTATACATATTCTAGAAACTTAAATCCTAAACCTAAACCTAAACAAAGGAAAAACACTAACGTAAGAGACAAAATATAGGTAACATTGATAATAAAGAATTTTAAACCCTAAATGAAATTAAAGCAATGCGTAAAGAATCAAAACAAAGAAAACCTCAAAAAATGCGGCAGTAAACAATCCTAATTCTAAACCAAGAAAACCCTAAATAATGATAATATACGGTAATTTTGGTTTTTTCCCAATAAAAATTATTAGTGATAGAAATTACAATTATATCCAATGTAAAATATAATTACTAAGGGTAAAAAAGGCGGACGACATTTCGCTAAGGGCCTTCGTGCTTTTAATATAGTATAGATTATTAAAATAAGAGGAAAATGGTCCTTTCATTAAGTTTGATAATTTAGAAAAAAGCCACATGGTACAAATAGTTATTTGTTATTCCTTTCGTTTCAATTTATGTGAACCTATTTTCTTTTTAGTCTGTACCAAAAAGAATGACTTCTTTTCCTATTTGGAAACAATTTACCTTTATGCAACGATTTATAGCCACACAAAATATATGTGCTTCATTTTACACCACAGGTTTAAAAGTTTTCTCTTTTTTCTTAAACTTCGTGCCTAGTCAAATGAGTTCACATAAATTGAAACAAACCTTCAGAGGCCTTGAAAACCTTACTTTTAGTTGTCTCGATTTGCGTGCACAATTTGGGCGTGTTACCGGAAAGTTTAAATGTGAATTTTGTGAAAAATTTGATGAATTTTGATATTAATATGGTTAAAGTTGACTTTGGTTAACATTTTTGGTAAACGGACCCGGACCCGTGAATTGATGGTCTCGGAAGGTCCATAGAAAAATATGGGACTTGCGCGTAGGGGTGTTCAAAATCAATCCGAAACCGAAAACCGAACCGAACTGAAGCTTAATGGCTTACTGGTAACAGCTTAACGGACGGGGAACAAATTGAATTTTTTTTATTAACGACTTATCGGTTTGGGGGCGGATTATTCAATTTTCTTAACGGATAATCCGTTAACCCGTATGTTTTAAGAGATTAATAACATAAAAATTCCAAAGAATGACGATGCATTTTCATATATTTTGACATTTCATTCTTGGAAGTGTGCAATGAGTTGTTTGGAGAAACGTCGATTTTATTACTTAAATTTGTTTAATAAACAATAAGGAGAGCAGATTTAACTAAGAAGGATTCTGATAGTTGAAATAGGCCATCCATATATATGTCAACAATTAAATATCTTTTCTTATAGGTTAAGAACACTGTCTATTAACAGTCTTTTGACTTTCTTTATTTGTTTAGCATTCTGTAGTACCCCTCAAAATAAAACGCCTTGCTCGGGTATTTGGTAGTAGAATTGAATTCACCAGAAATGACAGACTTGGAATCAAAAGCACCCAAAAAAAAATAAAATGAAACTTTCGAACAAATTAGCTTTGCAAGAACAAACAAAAACAACCCATATAACTGTCTTCTAACAAAGATTCAGTTTTTCAATACATATTATAGCTGAAGAAGTCAGTAGAAAGGGAGATATTTAGTGAATATGTATGTTAGGCCGATAAATCGCCCGATAAGAGCTAAACCGATACCAATCCGTCCGATATCTTATCGGGTGACTAACCGATTAATACATTTAAAAGCCAATAACCGTTAAGCGTAAAAAGCCGCCCAATCCACCCGATAAGCAGCCCTACTTGGGCGTATGCCCGGAATCGAATTCCGAGGTCCCAGGCCCAAGAAATGAATATTTCCATGAAATTATTTTCTGAAAAAGTTTAAGGAAAATGAAAATAAAATTTGATCAAAAGGTAATAGTCGGGCTCGTATTTTGGTTCCGACGCCCGGTACAAGTCTTATATGTTGTTTAAGCGCTTTCTGTAAAGTTTGGTTGAAAACGGACGTCGTTTAACGTGTTCAGCCTTAAATTGGAAAATTTGAAACTTTATGAA